CATGCTGCGGCCGGTCGGCAGCGGTGCCCGTCGGGCACTCACCGTGGTCCTTGGTACCGCGTCCACCACTGGCATCGCTGCGCCGGTGGGAGGGTGGCCGGGAAGCAGGCCCCCGCGGCTTGCTGGGGCTGGCCGTTGAGGCACGAGGTTCGCACATGTCGATAGGGAAGAGGGAGCAACGCAGCACAATGCTTCTGAGGATGGGATCGCTCTCAGGACTCTGCCCTGGACCACCGCTGTGGCAGCCTGGAGCCGGGTGCGTTACTCCGTGGCTGCCTGCGATGGCTCAAACCCGCCTTGTGTTGACAGAGCATGGAAAGTCGGACTTGGCAGAACCGTAGTGTTAGACCAAAGTAGCCATGGGCTTCCTGCTTGGCACAGACATGCAAGCAAGAGCGGCTGTGCTCTGTACGCTGCTCCAGTGCTCAGCAAATAAGGCAGGGAATTTACTCTCCGCTTTCAGACTCAAAAGGTGATGCCTTTGGGCCAAAGAAGCAATTCTGTGCAGTGTTTCGCATGCTTCCCACTAAGCATGTTGTTTTACTGTTGGGTAAAAAACCAAATGGGTTTTTGCCTTCCCATGTGGGCTCAACTCCTGCCCCCGCTGGTGGAAACCTTGAACTTTCTGTTGAAAAGGATCTCGCTGCAGTTGCGCCTAAATACCAATGCCATCTGTGTGTGAGATGAGGCTCACACACGTATGGATGGAGTCCAGCTAGATGCCTAATTCCAGTTAGTTTTTGCTATAAGGGAATTGAGATCTCTAAATAACCCAGACCTGCATTAACGCAACCACCACTTGAACGTGGGGCTCCTTTTCCGCTGGGTAATCTGCTTTTAGTCTGCTTTTAGTCTTAGTCTGTTTTTTGCGGCGGCCTTTCCGCTGCTCAGGGGGCAGTCTGACGTGATGCTCGCTACAACAGCCATCCCCGTGAACGAGATCTGAGCTCTGCACCACTGAGGGCTGAGATCTCAGCTGTGAAGTCCCCTGCTCTCCTTTATTTTATAGGACAGCAAGTAGTCGTGAAAGAAGCCAGTGGGAAGGTGTTCCTGCAGTGTGGTACCGGAGAAGGTCAAGTCACGTGGCTGAAGGATGAGGACAGGATAGCAAACACAACACAGCTGGACTTGGGTGCAGTTCACGATGATCCCAGAGGCACCTATGCATGTGAAATAGGAGGCAAAACGAGTGCCTCCCTCCAGGTGTACTACCGAAGTAAGTGTTGCAAACCTGGTTTCTAGAGCCAGAACTTACTAGAGATTTCACCCAAATAAATTTTTGAGGGAACTACTGATTTCCCAGAGATTGAGGGTGCTTCCACCAGTATGTGGAAGTCCTGATAGCTCCTGTGCTAGGTTGCCCTTGGCCCCAGCCGAGCTACACGTTCCCTGTACAGCCTCAATGACTGCCATAACCTGGCACTCGTACTGCCTCATCGCTAGCCGCTCGCTGGCCCTGCTGTGGCCTGCCCTGAGCGCTGGGGACATGCAGCCTGTGTCACTGCCTTGGGTCACGCAGCAAGCCATACTTAATCCCTGTGTCTCTTGTCCTGAGACTGGAGCTTGCCTGGACTGGTTCCCAGGGGCAGGGTCCTGTCACGGCCCTGCTTTCAGTGTCTGTGTCCTTTTGGGTTTCCAGTGTGCCAGAACTGCATCGAAGTGGACGCTCCCACCATCTCGGGGATCGTGATCGCCGATGTTATCGCCACCGTCTTCCTGGCAGTTGCCGTGTATTGCATCACTGGCCAGGACAAGGGACGCATGTCACGAGGTGAGAGGAAAGCCGCGCTGGCTGCCCGCGGGTGGGGATGGAAAGTTCCTGAGCATCTCTTGGAGCTGCGTGGTACCTATGGATTTGGTGTCCCTGTCCACAGACCCCAGTCACTGCAAGCTGCAGGCAGCAGCCAGCACACAGCGTATGTAGGGTAGGGATCTGTGCGAGCACTCCGTGTACCCTTCCTGCCCCTAGCTCAGTTTCCCAGGAGAAGCCACTGAATGCCCAAGGTTCACCAAAACAGCATCCCAGGGACAGCAGCTGGTGGCACAGGCACATCTGTGGCCTGGCAGGGGCTTTCCACCAAGCCTCCCAGAGGAAGTAAAAGCACAGGGCCAAAAGCAGCTGGCCACTTGGGTTGGTTTGCCACGCTGCCCATGACTCCCCTGATCTTTGACCACCTTGTTTCTTCATTTAGCTTCTGACAGGCAGAACCTGATTGCCAACGAGCAGCTCTACCAGGTGAGCGTGGGTGTGGGCTTCACCTCTGCGTGGTGGGAGTGGCAAGGCCACGGCACACTGCTGCCGGGGGGTATTCAGTGCCTCAAGGCACTGAGCCACGCTGGAGACTGTTCTCTGCTGGGGCGTTGGCACCTGCCCTCCCCTGAGTGACCCAGAGGATGGGGCAAGCTCAGCTGCCCCCTGCCTCTTACTCTCTGGAGTTGTTGAGCTCTGTGTGCGGGGAGGGAAAGCTTGCTAGAAGCTTGGCAAAGAGAAGGCTGGACCAGCTTCCTCTGTACCCTCCCTCCAAGGGCTGGACAGACACAATTGTAGCTCCTTTCCCCATTATTTTCTCCTAGCCCCTTGGCGAGCGGGACGAGGGACAGTACAGCCGGCTGGTACCTGCCAAGGCCCGCAAGTGAAGTGGGAAGCAGCTGAGACCTGTGGCTCTTTCACACCAGGAGTGATAGTGCAGCAAAGCCACCGCCGATGCCTTCGTAAGCTCAGTGCTGCCAGAGACGGTGCGGGTTTTTGCCTGACGAGCCCTCCGGCTGCTTGCCAGTATAGGATGGGCTGCTTGGAGCACTCTGCTCTTGCCATGACCTCTTGCACTTCTGTATCCCTCTCATTAAAGATGAGCCTGTCCCACAGCCTCCCTGCTCCATTGATTGTGTTGAGCCGTGCCGTCGCTGGGGAAGGTGCGTGCTGGATGCCATCTGCCTGGATCCCTGCAGAGCCATAAGGGTCCTGACTGTCCCAGTAGGACACTGCCGGCGCAGGCAGGTGCCCATGGCTGTGCCACCTCTGTGTGCCAGGATCCAGATGATGTTCAGGTCCATTGCTGAAGCTAGGGATGCAGGACCTCATGAAGGGAGTTGCCACCCGGGAGAGTAGCAGAGGCTTTGTCTCAATTAACTCCCAGAACAGGAAGCAGGGCCACCAGAAACACAGCGACATTTGGCAGGGTCTGTGTCACTCCTGTGAAGTATCCATGTGCCTCAGTCCCCTGGACTGAGCTGGGGAGCTGACAGGAGGAAGGATGTTTTGTCTGCACGTGCAGGGCTTGACATCTAATCACCCACCCGGGAGAGTAGCAGAGGCTTTGTCTCAATTAACTCCCAGAACAGGAAGCAGGGCCACCAGAAACACAGCGACATTTGGCAGGGTCTGTGTCACTCCTGTGAAGTATCCATGTGCCTCAGTCCCCTGGACTGAGCTGGGGAGCTGACAGGAGGAAGGATGTTTTGTCTGCACGTGCAGGGCTTGACATCTAATCACAGTCTCCAAAGCCCAGAGGCTTTTCACGGGCCTGTTTTTGTTAGCCAGCCTGCAAGTTGCCTCAGTGTTTAGGGCAGTGGAGCATGAGCAAAGCAGCAAGCTGCGCTGGCTTCTCAGAAGTGCGCGCAGGGGCTGGGACCAAAGAGGAAGCAGCAAAGGGGATGAAAACTGCAGCAGAAATGCAAAGCACGTGGCAGCAGAGCTGGCCAGGCAGCAAAGGCCAGAGGCAGCCTGTACTCCCCTTGACTCCGGTGGTGTTGGGAGGCCCCCACACCTCTGCACGTGCAGCTCAGTGGAGAGCGACCAAGTGTTGGCAACCCCTCTTTCAGGCTGACTAGCCATCCCAGGGTGCTGAGTACAGGATGCAGCCAAGCAAACCTTCAGCCCCTTTCCCAGCTCAACCACCTTTTTAGGCACAGGGTCTCCCCACGCCAACCCAGCTCCTCCTGGCAAGGTCCCCACTCCCCAGCTCTGAGCAGAAACAGCAAATGTGGTCTGACTAAGGCCAAAACAGGAGGCAGATAACAGATGGGATCAGCCAGCAGTTGGAAACCTCAGAAACCAGGTCACCTTCCATGTGCCAGTTGCACACACCTGTAGCTTGTGTTTTCCTGCTTTTCTAAGAATCTGGGTGACAGGCTTCAGAGAGCACCAGGCTGTAAATGGACTTGTGACTTGGTGGTATAAAGTAAGCACCGAGAGCGTTAACAGTAAGAACTGGCCACAGATCTGCGGCACATCTGACACAGCAACGCGTAGGCTGCGCAAAGCAGTGGATGCCCTGATGGGAACCAGCGTGTGATCAGGCCTGCGGACAGCAAACACAAAAAGGACCTGTTTTCCTATGGTGTTGGCTTTTTACGCAACAACGTTTTGCTTTTCGCAGGAGAAGAATAATGTCTTCGTGGCTTTTCCGCTCTAACCTGCTCGTGAAGGGCGAGCCTGATGCGGCCATTGCAGGTA